AAAGGCATAATAAACATTTGCGAAATATTCTAAAAATGACAATTTAAAATCACATAAAAATAAGATTGTAAAATTAATATTTCTTATATTTCCTACATTTTTCTCTTTCACTGCAATTATTCCTTTGAAAGATCGATAAAAATCATTTGATTCGAAAATTTTAGATCCAAGTGCACTCTAACATTAAATGTCCAATTTTTTTCCCTATGAAATATTTTAAAATATAACTTTCAAATCTGAAAAATATAATAAAAAATGATTGAAAAAAATAAATGGTAAAATTTTCTGAATTGGTTTTTTTTAATATCGCAAGCAAAATACATAATTCAGTCTTCGGACTGAAAGAAGAGAAATAGATTTGTTGCTAAATTTCCTTGTTCTCTAAATTATGTTATTTGAATTTCGGAAGATGCAACGTGAGTACAAAGATCACACAGAAAGAGAGAAAGGGAACAAAGTATGGAGCACGAATGAACAAAGTTCGTTTCTGCACCTCGTGCTCTCTGAATTTAAAACGAGACGAAAAATATGCTTATGCGTACACGCTAGAAAAGGAAAGACGAAAAAGCACGTGCAGGCATTTCTCAGCGATATGGGAAATAACGCGAACGTTGATACCGAGGGGGCGAGCGAAAGCGAGCGGAAGTGATCGCGCGTAGTTCACCATCGTGACGCTAGGGCGGCGCGGCCAGCCGACGTACGGCGATATCATCGCGACACGGCGATCCTACGAATGTTACGCACACAGTGCCGTTGGTTGGTGGTCGTGATTCATGTGTCGCGGGGATCGTTCGTGGGTTGCGAATAGTGGCGGATACCCCGTGCTGTCGACGGTGGTGTTGTTGACGCAACGACGAGACTCCGTGTCGCCGTCGCTCCCGTGCGGTCCTGCCGTTATCGCGCCCCACGACAATTATGTCACGAGGACAGCCGCGCTCGCGCTCGTGCACGACGCCTCATTAAGATCAACGGTGAGCGATCATCCACCGCCGCGAGTCGGGCCTCTTGTGGCGACGGCCGAGACAGAAGACTCGGCCCCCTCAGCTTGTTGACAGGAATATCGCAAATATTGCCCTCACGATCGAGGCTCCGTCGGTGTGTCTGGCCTGGTCCGTCTGTCCGTCTCTCTCGCTCGTACTTTCCGTTTCCCTTTCCCCTTCTCCCTCCCTTGCTCCGTCTCACTTTCTCTCGCTCGCTCCCTCTCGCGCTTGTAGCCCGCTCGTCGTCGCTCTTCCCTTCAATCGTCGAAAGCGCGCACCTTTATATCCCTGTCAGCCTCGGTATATCGCCTGCCGGAACGGAGGAACGAGAACTCACGAACCACGAAGAGCGGCATCGGAGCGGTGTTAAATGTGCTCGGCCGCGTGGTGGTGGAGGAAGAAGGGATTATTCGACATCGGTCCTCACCACGTTGTCTCCGCGAGTGTCGTCCAGTGATCGTACACACGTATCACTCTCCTTCGCACACGGCGACGGTGTGATCATCGGCTCTGTTACCCGTAACGTAAATGGGTGCCCGCCTCGCTTAGGAAGGGACAAGAGTTCAGAGGGCTGTGGTGGTGATCCGTGCGTGTCGATGCGCACGCGGCGTCGTGCGCTCGCCGAGCTAGCATTCACGTCGGGACGGCGGGATTTCTGAGGAGATAGAGAGAGGTATCTTCGACGCGCGCCCGAGACCTCGAAAACCCGACATGATGAAGAGTTCTCTGATAAAGAAGGAGAGCAAGATGCGCATACGTGCTTTCCCGGTGAGTAACCCCCGCACGGGTCAAGAACGCCTGACTCGCCTGACGGCCAACCCCGAGTCTCCGTCCCCCCTCCCCCCTCGAAGTCCTATGCTTTTTGCCTGCCCGCGCCTCCCCGTTCCTCTCTTATTCCATCCATCCTGCGCCGTGTCCGTCTTGTCCTGTGCACGCGCCGTATCGCCTTGCGTTACGCGACCATCTCTCTTTATTTATTCCGTCTTTGTCTGTTGCGCGACGGCGGCGGTGGCGACAACGCAACGACAACGACAACACAACGGCAACGGCAAATGCATCCGAGATAAACGGACGATATAAACATTATGTCCCATAACCTACCTGTCTCGAACGCGACATGAGACGCGATGCGTCGATTGTAAATAATTCCACACGTCCGGATTCGCGTGCGATGATTAGTATAAACGCGGGTTCGAGGATCGAGTTATTAGGCATCTCGTGTCGCATCCTGTGCACTCGTTGATCAGCATGAGGAAGTTGATTAGCATACTCGAGCTTGTACTTCCTGAAAATATTGTTGGTTTTTGTGAAAATGTCGTTTCCGATTCCTCACAGTTGATGTGTTCGTATCTTGTGTATCCGCTAACTCGTATTTACTTCATCTAGCATAATCTTGTTGCACACATAATTCTTTCCATATTTTCTCTTTTTTTTCTATATTTCTATATTTTTTTTTTATATTTTCTATATTTCTATATTTGAAATACTTTTCTCTATTGCTTAATTGACATATGTGATTTAAATAAAAAGATGAGTGAAGTAAAATGTAATAGAAAAATTCAACAATATGGATTACATTTGTTAAATAAGATGAGATTTTTGCAGATATATCCAATTATTTTTGAAATAATTAAAAACAATTCATCCAAGTGTGATATATGTATTTCCTATTTGATATCTTATACTTCTAATATATTAATTTAAAAATGATGTTATGTGATGATATATAATAATTATTTTGTTCACGAACTAATTAGATACTAGTAAGATTAACTTGTTGCATTAACTTGAAAATAAATAATGGCTTTAGCAGAGAAAGCAGTTTTTGCAACTGTTGTAAAAGTCTTTGATTATGATTGGTTTTTGCCCTTAGTTCCTCATAGATCTAAATACAAATAAACCAATCATATTGAAGAATCTTATACAGTTGCAAAGCTGCTTTTTCTGCTGAACACAGCCAATGTATGCTAAATTTGAAAAATGATATACAATAGGTGCATCCAGAATATAACTGCTCATTGAATGCTCATGCCCGATTCCATCAACGTAGATTTACTTTAATCTTGGTTTAACTTGCTCTTCATCTTTTTCTAATTCTTAGAATTAGAAAATATGAAGAGTAAGTTGAACCGAGATAAAATTAATCTACGTTGGTGAAATCATTAGTGAATTCTTAAATCCGATTGATATATTCTCTTATATCTGAAAAAATATACCAATTTTCATTAAACGTCACTAAACGTTTAGTGAGCTGATTTACATCTGATTAGTATATTTTTTTATATATAAAAGAATATACGATCGGATACAAGAGCTTACTAAGTGTTCAATGAGGTTTTGTGTTTGATTCATATATTCTTTTAAGCTTCTAGATTCTACACACTTCATATCGTGTAAAGTTTGTAAAACTGTCTTAAAAAAAAATTTAGATTAACTAAATTAAAAAATACTACATATTGCAACAATATATTTACTATCTAATACTATCTATTAAATATATATTAATTATATTTTTCTAATATTTTATATTTTTCTATAATTCTTTTTGTAATTATTCTGTACTTCTGTACAATATATTTATTTATTAATATTTTTTAAAATATTAATATAAAAAATAAATTGCTCAATGAAATACATATATGTTATTTCAAGCATTGTTCATACTTGAATTGTTATCAAGAAAGAAGTTGGTAATGGTTACCAAGATAGTTAAGAAAGAAGTTGGTAATGGTTATAAAGTTGCAATAAGCGCAGCTACGCATAACCATACTAAATTTTTAAATGTCAGATATTACTATTTATTAGATTCATAATGTTAGATTTGTCTCATTTTCTAATATTGAATAATATAATAAGGTAAAATGATGTTATCAATGATTTATGCAAAAAATGGCACACATGATATCAACAGGAATCTATATTATGTACAAATGTTTTGCTTGTATAATTTTTATATTTTTATCAATTTTTTAGCAATTTGTATATATTCAAATATTTATATATATATTAACTTTTTAACTTATTTTTTTAGTTTTTAAAGCAGATTAATAGAATTTATTTATTTTTTCTAATATTCATATCACATATTATTATATATTACGAGCTTATCTCTGATAATTAAAGTCGTTTCATATTGTAAATGCAACAAAAACGTTGTTCTGATGTAATAAAAAATCTTGCTTCAAGTTTAATAATAAGTTTATAAGTTATGTCTTATAATTGTGCAATTTTATTAAAAATTAATGTATTAAAAATTAAATTTATGTTTACTTATATTTAATATTTATATTGGACATATTTAATTCCTTTTAACTTAAATATGTTTGATAAATTTTATATAAAATGATAAATAAAGAAAAAACAAGTAATTCTCTCTCTTTTTAAGATTTATAAATATATGTTTTCATGATCAAGGTTATGCTAAAGCAAAGCATACAAGCAAAATCTGTACATAAAAGATATAGAATCATGGATTATCAAAATGAAGATTATGATCTACAGCAAAGAAACAAAATGGATGAAACAATTTCTACATCGAAATTAATACACAATCCTCTCATAATTTGTGATACTCTTGTGAGAATTATCTGTTACATCTTATTTTATCATACGTGTATAATAAACATAAGTTAATATTTTTTATATATAATTGCATTTTTATATAATTTAAGTTATTTCATATTTGTGGTTGTTATATATGTGAATATACAGATTTTTTAAAAACAAGTTAATTGAATTTTGGTCTTATCATATAAAGACTCTATTTTCACAGACAACTATGGATGAGAAGTATGTAGAAAGCATTTGGACTTTACTGAAGAGCGCTATTCAAGAGATACAGAAGAAAAATAATTCTGGCCTCAGTTTTGAAGAACTTTATCGCAATGCTTACACAATGGTTCTTCACAAGTATGGTGAACGATTGTATACTGGACTGAAAGAAGTTGTAACGCAGCATCTTGAAAATAAAGTACGAGAGGATGTTCTTCGTTCCTTGCATAACAATTTTCTACAAACTTTAAATCTAGCATGGAATGATCACCAAACATCAATGGTGATGATCAGGGATATCTTGATGTACATGGATAGAGTATATGTTCAACAGAACGATGTAGACAATGTGTATAATCTTGGATTAATTATTTTTCGAGATCAGGTAATTTTCAGCCGTTTTAATTCTTCTTTATATTCGTTTTGTAAAAAAATTTCTAAAAAGTTTTAAGATTCTATTCTAATAAAATGAACAATCTTTAAAATCATTGATTTTATAACGTTAAATTATTGTTATTATTATATATTGTTTAATATTACGAATTTTAGGTGGTCAGATATGGATGTGTTAGAGATCATTTACGAGAAACATTATTAGGTATGGTTGCAAGGGAAAGAAGAGGAGAAGTCGTAGATCGTAGCGCTATAAAAAATGCCTGCCAAATGTTAATGTTACTTGGAATTAACAATCGCCAAGTTTACGAAGAAGATTTTGAAAGGCCTTTTTTACAACAAAGTGCTGAGTTTTATAGAGTAAGTGTCTAATATGTTTAACGTACTTGTTCGTAATCATCAAGTAGGTGCCTATAATCACCAAGCTTGTCTTCTTCAGATGGAATCTCAAAAATTTCTGGCAGAAAATAGTGCATCGGTATATATAAAAAAAGTTGAAGCCAGAATCTGTGAAGAATCTGAAAGAGCGAAACACTATTTAGATGAATCCACTGAATCACGAATAGTAGAAGTTGTGGAAGAAGAATTAATCAAAATTCACATGAAAACCATTGTTGAGGTGCGTCTATTTTATTTATTTGTAATCTACATTGTGTTTAGTTGGCAATTGGTTGGCGATTGAGTTTGAATTATATTTTATCATGGATTATATATTTATTTCTATAGATGGAAAACAGTGGTGTAGTGCACATGCTCAAAAATCAGAAAACAGAAGATCTTGGTTGTATGTATAAACTATTTTCAAGAGTGTCAGACGGATTGCGCACTGTGTGCGACTGTGTATCTCAATTTCTTAGAGAGCAAGGCCGCGCTTTAGTGCAAGAAGAGCATGAATCAACAACAAATGCCGTTCTTTACGTCCAAAACTTGTTAGATTTAAAAGATCGTTTTGATCATTTTCTACATTATTCTTTCAATAACGACAAAAATTACAAGCAAATGATAGCATCGGATTTTGAATACTTTCTGAACTTAAATCCTAAAAGCCCAGAATATCTCTCGCTCTTCATCGATGACAAATTGAAAAAAGGCGTCAAAGGGGTTAGTATTAAATCAGTGTATATAGTATTATGATATTATGTTATATAGTTTTCAAATTATAAATATGTTTGGTTTTAGATGACAGAACAGGAGATTGAAGGAATTCTAGATAAAACTATGGTGTTATTCCGTTTCTTACAAGAGAAGGATGTATTTGAACGATATTATAAGCAACATTTAGCCAAGCGATTATTGTTGAATAAATCTGTTTCAGATGATAGCGAAAAGAATATGATATCCAAACTTAAGGTGAGTGTATTAAATCTAAACTAACAAAAAAAGCTAGATAACAATTTTATAGACTTGCTCAGAATTATTTTGTTTATATTTAAATAGTTATTGTTCTCATTTTTGTATCAAAAAAGATTAATAACATATATTTTTAATTATCTTTTAGACTGAATGTGGATGTCAATTCACATCCAAGTTGGAGGGAATGTTTAAGGATATAACAGTCAGCAACACTATTATGGACGAATTTAAAGATCATGTTCTTTCATCTGGTGTAAGTATTAAAATATAATAGATTTTATTATAAAATCTCTTAAATATTTTTACGATTGCAGTACTAAAATATATAAATACTGATTGAATATTTTCATATGATTTGCATAATTAAATTGCAGATAGGATTGTTAATATTATTATGATTAAAATTACTTAAACTACTATTTTATAAAAGAAATAAATATTTATGTAGATCATATCTATTATGATGGATTATATCTATGATCTTATTCTTTATGTTTTCTAAAGACAAATTTACATGGTGTGGACATAAGCGTCCGAGTGCTCACAACTGGTTTCTGGCCAACGCAGTCAGCAACTCCCAAGTGCAGTATGCCTACTGCTCCGCGCGATGCCTTTGATGCCTTCCGGCGTTTCTATCTGGCTAAACATAGCGGTCGACAATTAACATTACAACCACAATTAGGTAAATAGATACTTTTATATATGTTTATCGATATTTAGTTTTATTCAAAAAAGATTTTATGGTAATAATAATAAATAATAAATGAAATAAAAAATATATATGCAGGTTCTGCTGATCTGAACGCTGTATTCTACGGACCACGAAGAGAAGAGAGTAATTGTGGAGGTTTAGATACTCCTTCGTCGTCGAGTTCTATTGGAAATGGTAGTAGTGCAAGTGGTAGTTTAGTCAGCCAGAGAAGCAGTCTGTGTAGTACGCCACGAAAGCATATAATACAAGTTTCCACTTATCAAATGTGCGTGTTAATGCTCTTCAATAAGAGGGACAGATTAACATATGAGGTTGGTTCTAATGCTAATTTAAATAATTAATCACGTGTTTATGTGAGATTATATGAAGAAATGAAATGTTCATAATTTTGATATGTATATATATATATATATATATATATATATATATATATATCAATATATATATATCAATATATTTGTGAATATTGTGTAGGAAATTCAAGGTGAAACCGATATTCCAGAGAGGGATTTGGTCAGAGCATTACAATCTCTTGCAATGGGTAAAGCTACGCAAAGAATTTTACTTAAACATCCTCGTACTAAGGAAATTGAATCTACAAATTGTTTTTGCGTGAATGATAGTTTTACCAGTAAATTACACAGGTATTACATTTCTTTGTGATATAATTAAATATATCTTATACATGTCATGTGTAAATAATCATCTTCTATTGAATCTTTATATTTACTTTGTTAAGAGTAAAGATCCAGACCGTAGCAGCAAAAGGAGAATCTGAACCTGAAAGAAGAGAGACGCGCAATAAAGTTGATGAAGATCGGAAACATGAAATTGAAGCAGCCATCGTACGAATTATGAAAGCTCGGAAGCGTATGCCAGTATGTTAAAAAAGTTTTTATAAATAGGAAACTTATACACTGAACACGATTAATTCATTGATACATATTTTGTACATAGAAAAAAATATTTTTATTTGAAATAAGCTAATATATACGAAATGTACAAGCATGATATTAATAACATTTTTTTTTACTAGCACAATATACTTGTAACAGAAGTAACAGAACAGTTAAGAGGTCGATTTTTGCCTTCACCTGTAATAATTAAGAAACGTATCGAAGGCTTAATCGAACGAGAATACTTGGCTCGTACACCAGAAGATCGGTATGTAGAAATATTTGTTATATCGCTAATGTTTGTAATAACTACCAATTAATGATATTTTTCGATTTACAGAAAGGTGTACACATATGTTGCTTAATGCTATGTTCAATATTGGATGTGTACAAACATGTAAGTAATTTGTAATAATATATATCCTCTTATTACACGCATTAATGATTTTTCATATTTTATTCACGGAATCATTACATCATTATCATTTGTGGCATCATTATTGTTATCTTTCTCGTTACTATTCTCGTATTTCTCGGTTGTGAATTATTACGTTCAAGGGATATTCCACGTCAACAAAGAAATATTTCCATAAAATTTGAATATTTTGACAAGTGTATTGATATTTAACTTTAAATCTATAATATATAATGTTCTTTACAGGAATATGATTGGAAAAATTATCGAAAATGAGGAAATATTAATTACAATCGGTATTACAAATACAAAGGCAAAAAGATAAAGAATAAGCCAAGTTTTATTTGAAACTATATCATTGAGTGCTGAAAATTGTAAGGTGCCTATATTATATATATATATATATTGTATTGAATCTGAATAAAATACTTGAATTGGGCATCTTACGTTTGTTGTCATGGAACATCCCTGTAATTGAAATGAACGGCGAGATATTTTTTTGATAATTGATTAGTTTGGTGGAAAAGGTGATGTATCAAAGGAATGATGCACTTAAATCTATCATCAGGGAAGCATTAATTTTTTGTAATAATGGAGATTGTATCTGGTTCTCCAATTCTTCACATTTCAATTACACGTGCGCATTTGTTTGACTTACACTTGTATTACATATGTAATACATGTGAGTATTCATTATAATAAATATGTATTCTAAATTAGGATTAGATTTTAGTTAACATGCGTTTTTAATGCGAAGTACAGTTAAGTTGCTAAAGACGATTCGCATTGATAATACCGCAATTAGGAACTTTTCTACACTTGTAAGACTGTGATTGTCTATGATAACATAAATATTATCTGAATATATCGTAAATTTAGGAAGAAAAATGGTATTTACATATAGTTTTATTTACGTTGATGTCTATCGATTATATGTAAATAAGAGTGATGTGAATGTATTACTAAGAATATACTTGTCTCATTTCCAACAACTCAATATTATTCTTGATGCTCTCCATATCCCTAAGTATAAATCATGTAAATCATTTATATTTTTCTATATGAAACACATGAATGTATATAGATTAATTTTCATCTACCAAATCCACATATTTTTGAAAACATTATATAAAGCTCGCCTTCATACTTTAGTTTGTAGCTTGTAATTATTCAAATATAGAGCCCAAATTTATATAACAATAAGCGTACACACTTAATTCAACACTTAAACAGCTTCCGCCTCTTCCACCCAGCTTCTCAATTATTTCATTACAATTTAATCCAATATTGACCTTTTTGGTATAATATAGAATATTTATTATAGTATGCCAAAACAGTGGAGAACGAATCTGTAAGAGATGCGGAATTTAACGGATAAAATATGAACATGAGATTAAATAAAAACGAAGATCTTAATAAAATGCTGAGGTTCAATTCAAATATATATTGCACAGATTCATGTTGTACCGAAGAAAGATGAATGATTGGTGTTGTATTTTTCATTTTTATTTATATCCTCTTATTAATATAGAGTTTTAATATTTAAATGAAAGTTTTACTTTTTCTTACATAAAACTGAATAAAATTAAAATCCTATAACAGCACTTATTATTTCTGAAACACATTCACCCAATATATTTATCCTCTATACAAAGTTTAATATGCTAGACAGATACAAAATATCCAGTTTCCCCATAAAATTTCCCTTGTATAATTTTATATATATATATATATATACACACACACACACATATATATACACATTGTGTCAGAATAATATATATATTTATACAGCCAAACAGTATACATATAATATATACTGTTTATGTTCATATATGATAGTTCTAATATTCCTACAAATAAATGCTAAAGTTATTCATGACAATTTGATAATGAAATTCTAAACTCATCAGTTGAGAATATAATTCCACAATAGATAGATAATTTTTTCACAAGCAATAGTATTCAATATAGCATCTAATTAATATTCTTATATTATTATCTTATAGTCATTGAGATACATTAATGATCATAATGATTAATGTTATCTCAATACATTTTATTGTCTCAAGAAATTTAAATACAACATAGGACAAAAGTTATAAAAACAAAATATAATTTTATCATTTTCATGATTGCAATAGAAAAATAATGGATACAGTCATTAAGCATACATGTATTTTGACAAATGTTCAACATTTTTAACACAAATTTTTTCGTATAACGATTTCAATTTTTATAAGTTTTACAATCAATTATTTATCTATATGTGCTAATAAGAAATAAACATGAAATAAACATATAAAGTTTTAGAAGCATTTTGTATACTTCGCAAAATATTATTTTAAATTGCTAAATGTGAATTACAGATTAATATTAATACAAATATTAAATATTTTATATAATCATGAAATTTTTTTTAGAATTTTCATAGAAATACATTATACAAGATATAATTTATATCACGTTTATATAATCAGTTATATATCAAAATATATAACTTAAAATATTTCTTAATCCTATATAAGTGTTTGAAGAACACAGCACACATAGTATAAAGAAGACATTTCACATTCCAACAATTATAGCTTTTGTTAATTTTTTTGCATTATATATTATATATTTATATATATTACGTTATATGTTACATATATTTAATATGTAGAGATTGTAGCATTTTTTTTTACTCACTCTCAAATATATAATCAAGATAAAAAATATTCATGTAACTTTTACATAATATTAGCCTTTCAGGTCCTTTATGAAAATTGAAAGTTATAATAATCAAATGAAAAGAAAAATGACTAGAGACTCCTTTTCAATACTTTCGATTATATTTTTCGTTTACTCTTTCTTACTAATTGAATAAAGACATTCGAAAAGAAATTTAATATATTACTTCTTGATTCATATGTTTTTAATTAATCATTAAAAAAATGTATTAGAAATCATTTGAAAATGAATTTGATATCAAATTTTATATTAAAACAAGACAGTTCTGTACAGAATATCAAAATCTTTTTAAAATCCTGTGAAGAAAATTAAATTGCATTGATGAAATATGAGATTTATTTGGAGCTAAAAATAAAAATTTTTGTCGATCAGTATTTTCGAAGAAAAAATAAATGTTATATTTATTATTATAAAAAATAGAAAAAAATTACATTACAATTAAAATTGTAATTACCATCTTTTTTGTTTTCACAGTAAAGAAATTGATTGAAAATTGAGAGCAAACATTGTTCCTCTTTTATTATATGTAATCTTAATATTAGTAACAGTTATAAAGCAGTAGCTATAAATTCGAAATGCAATTATAAATTAACATCTTAAACGATTGGAAATAATATGTACTTTAATACATACTGTTACATACGCTGCTACATCGGACAAACATGATGTCTATGCTGAATCGTTTTCATCATCGTGTACATTCCTACAAGATCAAGCTGGAATGTAACGACTTTTCGATGATAAATCAAAGTATAATTGCATATGACTTCAAGTATAAATTGTATACAATATGATACAGTTATTTATCATAATTTACTGTACTCTGAAAAGTTCATCCCACTTCTTATAAACATTACAATTTGCGTATATTCATATCATCGGTGTTAACCAATACTGTACAGAGTCATCTCAACTTGAATCAGTGAGATTTCACGAGGATTAACAGACAGGTATACATTGGCTCGAGTTTAAATTAGCTGACGGGCGGCAGGCATCGTGGTGGTGACGGTAAGTAAAACTAATCACTCGGGGTTATTCGTTAGAAGATGATGATTCCCGCCTCTTCTCGGCATGTTTTTTCGTGAATTCTTCGGCATTTTTTAAAAACTTTTTTCTATCCTTTAGAAATTCCTCAGCTAAATCTGCTCTCAATGGATGTTCAGGCTCAGGGTCATTCACTAATGCTATCAAAGCTTGGATCACTGCAAATACAAATGGCACATATTTAAAATTAAAGATACTCTACTTTTTCATTAAAAAAATACATTACATTTATTTTAAATCTGAAAATATTAATTTTACAAATTGTTATGAGCACTATATTATTTAATACAGTAGCAATTATACTTAAGTCTTAAAAGCATTTTTATCATTTAAAATATAATAGATTGATAAAATAGATTGAAAAAAAATTGAAATACTGACCTTGGTCCGTTTTTGTAGCAGGTTTCCAATTTTCCGCACTTATAATTGGCAAACATATTTGACCTTTTTCATCTACATTTGGATGATATATCTTCGTTTTGAAATTTATTCTTGGTGGTTTGAAGGGATATTCTGCAGGAAAATTGATTTCAATGCGAAATGCACCTTTGTTATATGGTGGATTGTCCTGTAGAAGAGAAAACTATTCGTTGATATAAGTGAGTGATTGATACATAAAATAACATATATTACTATGGTAATAATACAGAATAATACAGAACACATAATGTTTGAAAAAAATCATATAGGTATTTAATTACACAAAATAAAATGAAAATAATGTCACAATAAAGCTTGCTCTTAAAAGAAGCAAGAGATAACATTTCTGAACAACATTCTATATTATATAATACTATATAACAGTTATAATCGACTTGTATACGTAGACATCACACAATCCACAAATAATAACATAATATATTCTTATATGCAAACTTATTTTAGTACTTACACATTATTAATCAAGTGGTCTCATTTAAATATATAAATTTTCATATATTTATTTACACAATTTTCTATTATCGCGAAACATAGACATATTAAAAGACAAAAATAGATTAAATCAGTCTTATCAGAAAGTGCTTAATTAAACGATTAACGTGTACATAAATTATTTCAGGTGTATTGTTTAACAATTACATTTTTTTTCGTTTCTCTTTCAAAAATTTAAGCTTACAACTTGCCTTACCTCGAGCAGGAAATATGTAAAGAAATACTTAAGTATGAGTGAGAGAAGAGAGAGAGAAAGAAAGAGAGAGAGAGAGAAGAGATAGAGAAATAAGATGAGTCATGACCCGCATTCGTATTTTAGGTTACGTGTCCCCGGAGTATCGACGGCACCGAGGACGGCGAACCTACCGGCAATATCAGGCCCTGCCAGGTGAGAATATTGGACTCGTCTACTTGAATATTTGTGAAGTTCTTCATCGCTGACGCCCTGAGGTCACCGAGTTCCTGGAAAAAGTCATACGCTCAGTGCTAGATCCATGAAGCCGCGAGGTCACGTCATCGCGCCAAGTTTTTCGTGTGGACGCGATCGTCCTGGAACGGCAACGAGGCCGTCCGTAGGAGATGCGAGACACATGGATCGGTCCCTGGACACGGAAATAATAACGAGATCCGCGTTGTCCGAGGCACCGATGAACGACGCGAGAGACCGCAGATGTCCCACGGTGTCGGCGACGAGGAGGCAGAGGTGCCGACGTACGAGCGCTATCACCGCGACGGGCACCGCCGACGGACGTCCGCGCGGAAGCATCCCCGCGTGCGAGTCGATCGCGCGGCGACCTCGCCTCACCGCGGCCCCGTCGTTGTCATATAACTGATGACCACGACGGCTACCTCGAATTACCTTTTGCAGTCTCCTCGTAGCAGCCATTTTGAAAATAAATTCCACTAAAAGCAGCAAAACTTGCCGAGGCCGCCGCTAGTGCGCGTCTACGCGCAACACAGAATCCTCTCCCCTCCTCCCTCCACCAACTCGACAAATTTCCCAGACGCTCGTGTCCCGAAGGATGATAATTCCCCGGTCTCCGGGTGGCCGGCTTCTCTGGTGAGGGAAGAGATGGCGACGTTGCAATATAGTCGGTCATGACTCGCAGTTTGAGTATCCGCTGAAATCGCTCGATAAGAATTACTTACCTACGGTTTCTGACTCACATCGTAGAATGATTATGCACTCGAAATGTGTGGATCGTCTGTCAAAAGAATTTGGATGACTGCTTCGCTTTAAATTTGGATAAAAGTATATTCATTCAAAGTAATATGAGCACTCCTCTGTATAATTAATAATAAAATATATATAAATAATATATCATTTATATTAATGATATATTTTGTATAGCGCCAAATTAATATCTCAGTTTTTCATGAGAAGATCAGTAAGCAGATATTTCACATATAATTGTCATTTTCAAGTTAATGCCAGAATAATGAAAGAATATACGATAATCTCAGATGAATAGATGGTTTACAAACTTGTTTGAAATTTTACAGAAACGAAAATTTTTAGATCCTAAAGTGGCATGTTCGAGTCAGCACGAGATGAAGTTCAATATAAAAAAAATACAAAAAAATAACAGAAATAAGTGGCAAAAAAATTTATACGAGAACTACGGATTGCCGGACAACTATACGGACAGTTCCTTTTTGGAGCAACTGCGTAAAAATATAAAACCAAACAATGTGACATTGATAGAAGCACTAAACTTGGGTGCCAGCATATCCACGAGATTAAGTGTTGTTGTACTTTTTATTATAATATTTATCTGGCTGAACAACGAATGGACTACACCAAATGTTATTGTGATATCAGGCAGTATATTGACTATTCTTGGATATTTTGTATATAACAAAAAGTACCGGATCGACCTGTGAAACTAACAAAGGATTTGCGAACAGTATTAATATTTCTCACGTTTGGTTACATATTGTCACCCATTTTAAAGACTTTGACAGAAACAATTAGTACTGATACAATTTATGCCATGACAATATCAATGTTCCTAACTCATCTGGTATTTAGCAAATATGGATCATCACAGATCTTCCTATCAGATTCTTTATCTATAACTTCTTCAATTTTTGGCTCGCTAATGTTGGCTTCCAGATTAGCATCCCCATTACATGCCTTTTCGCTTTTAACAGTTTCAGTTCAATGTTTTGTATTGTTACCTTATTTGCTGTTGCAAATAAATAATAAAATTATCATATCTGCCATTCTGACTATTAGTACCATATATTTACTTTTATTTATTTCACAAACATTCTCCTATGTCTTTATTATAGCTATAATATTCATCCACTTTGTCTGTCCACTTTGGTATATCAAGTGCCAAAAATATAAGGATAATATTTATGGTCCTTGGGATGAAGCAGTAATTGCTTCTTAAAAAAAATAAAATTAGATATATGTAATTATAAATTTGTACATTTAAGTGTATGTATG